CTCTCTCTCTCTCTCTCTCTCTCTCTCTCACTCACTCACTCACTCACTCACACACACATCCTTTCCATTGAGTTCTGATGATTTTCTGCTTAGCTTCAGATGATTTAGCGTGAGTCTACTTCGCTCATGGAGCCCAACAGTCTCGCTGATTTCAGCTTTTACTATATAAGAATATTTGGAGCCCATTTGACTGACAGCTGTATTTAATAACAGGTGTGACATAACCAGACTGCCCATATTTAGCCACAGGACTGACGTGTGTGTGTGTGTGTGTGTGTGTGTGTACCCGCGGGAGTTGTGTGTTCAGGCTCACGAGCAGCAGCAGCGTTCAGTCGTGCAGAGATCTAAGCAGCACTGCCAACACCACTCTGCACAGCTGGTGAGTAATGTGCCATAACCATGGTAACCACAACCCACTGCATCACCCCACAAAGCATCCCATAATGAGTCACAGTACTGTAGGATCTGTGGGCTGACCGAGTTACCATGGCGACTAAGCCTTCTGTCAATCCAGCAGGGGTCACGCTCACATTCCCAGAATTCCCTGCGCTGGTGTGACTGGGGAAGCTGAGGCCACTGAATGTGTTTCTGTTGGTTCACGCTCATTTCCCCTGCAGTGAATGTGGCACACGTGTGCCGTTAGTGGCTCTGGTGATCCATGCACACTCAGGCACAGTTACGTGAGCACATTCTCAGCAAATTCTGAGCAGAGTCACACAAGTCCCAAACGGACGAGATATTGAAGGGTTTGAAATGAAATTCGTATATCATATATCAATATTCAGTGTGAATCAGCCATAAACATAATCAAACATGCAATGAGCCTCTTATGGAAATTCGCATTTAATTTATTTCATTATATCTAATAAATGAACTTGCATTTTATGGACAACAGTGGATGAGCTCTTCATTTCCCAGAATGCAGCAGTCTGCCGGATGATGCTCCGTTCTGTTGGACTGATGAAGTTTCTATGTTGTATTTCTTTCTTCGTGTTGAATTGTATTTCATTGAATTCCTGTTCATGTCATTCTATTTCAACATCTGATTCAATCTCTCTGTTTCCTCTCTAAATGTGTGTGTGTGTGTGTTTGATCAGAAGCGAGAGAGGAGGAGAGCTAAGGAAGAGCAGATGTGAAGAAATGGGTGGAGAACAAGAGAGCAAAGATGCTCAACAGAGTGCGCTGCTTCAGAGAGGTGAGGAGTGTGTGTGTGTGTGTGTGCGTGCACATGAGTGTGTGTGTGTGTGCGTGCACATGAGCGTGTGTGTGTGTGCGTGCACATGAGCGTGTGTGTGTGTGCGTGCACATGAGCGTGTGTGTGTGTGCGCGTGCACATGAGCGTGTGTGTGTGTGCGCGTGCACATGAGCGCGTGTGTGCGCGCGTGCACATGAGCGCGTGTGTGCGCGCGTGCACATGAGCGTGTGTGCGCGCGTGCACATGAGCGTGTGTGCACATGTGCGTGTTTTCATCATGGCTTCACTGTTTATTGCCGGTTTCTCTGAGTTTAGAGGCATCATGGTCAGTACGCTTTACAGACGGCTCATGTGAAGCCAGTGTCACATGACTCCAGCAGAGATTACTCCTCCCAGCCCCTGTCAATCCAAACGCCTCCTGCTCCTCCTCCACCTCCTTCTAATCCTCCTCTTCTTCCTCCTCCACCTCCTAATCCACCTCCTCCTCCTCCACCTCCTCCTCCTCCACCTCCTTCTAATCCTCCTCCTCTTCTTCCTCCTCCACCTCCTCCTGCTCCTGCCGCACCCATCAGTGTGAAGCTGCCTGTCCAAAACACTCTAGAACAAAACTCAGGTGAGTCTCACAAACACTTCTATGATCACGCCTGCTGTAAACCGGATTCTGTGTGTGTAAAAAACTAACAGTAGTTCATTCATACAGTAACATGAACTCTAGATTTATAAATGCTGTAAAAATAGTGAGGTCAATATATAATTTTTTTTCAATATAAAATAAAGTTCTTAAAGGCACAATATGTAAGATTTTTTAATTAAAATATCCAAAAACCACTAGAACAGTTATATATTTTGCTGACTTGTGTACTTACATTATCCCAAATGTTTCGAAGAATGTTTAAATCCAGAGAAATAAGCAATTTTAACTAGTGTCACGGAGCGTGTCTATAGTGTCATAGTGTCGCCTGCTAATGACGTCACAACCCCTCGATTTACGGTTTTGTTTTGTAGAAAACATGGAAACACCTAATATGTTGTGTGTTTTAATAGACCGGTGACGAGCGCACAGAGCAGCATTATAACAGAACTAAATGTATCTCGTATGATAAAACAGCGCTGCTTTACCCCACATACACACGACCGGAAGCAGCGGAAGCACTCGACTGTGGCATAATAAAAGCCCCGCTGCTTTACCCCACACACGCACGACCGGAAGCAGCGGAAGCGCTCGACTGTGGCATAATAAAAGCTCCTCTGCTTTACCCCACATACGCACGACCGGAAGCAGTGGAAGCGCTCGACTGTGGCATAATAAAAGCTCCGCTGCTCTCCAGCCGTGTGTCGCGCTCGTTCAGCGCCTCGTTTCGCTTCGACGGCTTTCAGCCTCACCCTGCTTCATTCTACTACGTTAATAAATCATTAGCTCATCCATGAACATGACTTCTGCCCGAGTCCCGTCGGATTGCATCATAACTCCCATGATTCCTCACTCAGTCACAGCGTCATCAAACTACGTCTTTGATTCTTTATTTTGAATATGCGCCCTCCAGCGGCGAAAATTTGATATTGTGCCTTTAACTGCTGTTTTCTTCTTGTTTCATCTTAAGGAAAGATTTATGAATAATTATGGATTAAAAATTCTTATTCTGGTCTAGTTTCTTAAGAATTCATGTTATTGTAAAATCTTCATAAAGTTAAAAGAACCTCAGACTTGTCTTAAATCCTGAAAGCCGAGCCAGTCATTAAACGAAGATGTCTCTCGTGTCACATTCAGGAGCAGCTCGGGGAGCTGAGAGAGGGTTCATAGCGGGACAAATATTAAGAGCAGCGTAAAGTTCTGTTTGGTTGAGAGTCAGACGACATTCAATCTTGTCATTTCAATGATGGTTTCTGTGTGATTTCGAGTTGAAATCTGAGCTGGATGTTTCACCCGTTTGAGTGAATGTCATGTTTGTGATGCAGGATCGATGGACGAGCTGTTAGCGTCGCTGCAGCGTGGACAGACACAGCTGCGGAAGGTCACGGTCAGCGCAGTGAGCAGCGACGTCAGGAACAGCCTGCTGTCAGCCATCCGTCAGGGAGTCACCCTGAAGAAAGTCCCGCCCTCCAGCGGCCCCACACACAGCTCCGACTCAGAGCTCGAGCGAAGCATCCAAGCCGCCATGATGAGGATGAAGGTGTCTAACGACTCTGATGATGAAGAGCCATCTGGAGACTGGGAGAGTTAGACGTGACCGTCTGTGATTCACAAACGCTGCTTCTGGACTGATGGCTGTGAACCCAACGCTGTTTCAGCCGCCATTAATGATTGTCATGGCTAACTTCCTTTGCCAAACTTTGGGTTTTTGCACTGAAATATCTGGTCGTAGGATTATATACTTAATTTTCCATAAAAATACAGCCAATGGCACTGAACACTAGAAATGTGTGAATAACATCTGTCTCTCTGATTTGATCTGTGAACGCTTTTATTAAAGTGCCTGATCAGGATTGGAGCATCTGTTTGTGTTTGAGGGAAAGTCTGTGACTTACCCAGAATGCTTTTCTTTTCTTGGAAATCTTGATGGTATCAAAGTCTGGACCAGTGATTCTCAAACTGTGCTAAACTCAACACGATTATGGAAATACACACTAACATATGCAATTCATTCAAAACTATTTTAATTGTTATATTGTATATTTTATTTCAAGTATGTGATTGACATCAGCCTTCTGCTTAGTGTTAGGGTTCAATTGCATGAGAAATCAGATGTTCATATCGTCATTTTGAAAATCAATACTTTCTGAAATTAACACTGGCATGATACACTTTAATTTGTTCACAATGTCATTTTTAATAAAACTGAAGCAACTATGGGAACATGAACTTAATTCCCAGCTGCACAGTGGAAATATGGCACGTTATTATAAATATCAACCTCAATTTATGACAATTATTCAATGTAATCCACCATCTACACCAGTGTGCAGTTCAGACCACCATACACATTTTACTCTTACCCAGTGGGCAATTGATGTTGAAAAAACATCAAATTGGCATCAAAATTTTTGTCAAAAGTCACCTCCGTTTATATAGTGCTGTTTATGTCAAAGCAGCTTTATAGTGTTTAACAGGAAAATAGTTTGTCAATAATGCAAGAAGACAATAACAGTCATTTTCCAGCTAAAGTCAGTTCATTGATGATTCAGTGATGTCATCATCCAGTTCAGCTCTCTTCTAAAAGTGTCTGTGCAATCAGTCAAGCGTCCCCAACTAAACAAGCCAAAGGAACCAAAACCGCATCGGTGACAGAAATGGAGAAAAAACCTTGGGAGAAACCAGACTCAGTCGGGGGCCAGTTCTCCTCTGGCCAGACCAAACCAGCATGGTGTGGTTTAATTCCAGGCTGCAGCACAGGTGCGTTTCAGGTAAATGTGTAGGTTTAATCGGACCATGAAGAAATGTAGAGCTGAGTATCATCAGCATAACAGTGAAAGCTAACACCATCTTTCTTGATGATGTCTCCCAAGGGAAATGTGAAAAGCAACGGTCCTAGTACTGAGCCTTGTGGCACTCCATACTGTACTTGTGATCGATATGATATCTCGTCATTCACTCCTACGAACTGATGACAATCAATAAGTATGATCTGGACCATGCCAATGCAACACCACTAATGCCAACATAATTTTTTCTAGTCTATTCAAAAGAATGTTGTGGTCAATAGTGTCGAACGCAGCGCTAAGATCCAGTAGCACTAATAGAGAGATACAACCACGATCAGATGATAAGAAGAGGTCATTTGTAACTCTAATGAGAGCAGTCTCAGTACTATGATACGGTCTAAATCCTGACTGGAAATCCTCACAGACACCATTTCTCTCTAAGGAGGAACATAGCTGAGAGGATTCTGCCTTTTTTAGTATTTTTATCAGAAAAAGGAGATTTGAGATCGGTCTGTAATTAACATTCTCTAGGATCAAGTTGTGGTTTTTAATGAGAGGCTTATTAACAGTCAATTTGAAGGTTTTAGGGATGGATCCTAATGACAATGATGAATTAATAATATTCAGAAGAGGATCTATGACTTCTGGAAGCACCTCTTTTAGTAGATGATTTAAGAAGTTTATACAATTCTTCCTCTCCTACAGCAGAGCATGAGTGGAATTGTTCCTCAGGGGATCTATAGCGTTATTGTAGCTGACGGCTGCATGGATTTAATTTTATCTATATATATTTTTTTTAAACAATTTTTTCAAGCTGTACTTGTGATCGATATGATATCTCGTCATTCACTCCTACGAACTGATGACAATCAATAAGTATGATCTGGACCATGCCAATGCAACACCACTAATGCCAACATAATTTTTTCTAGTCTATTCAAAAGAATGTTGTGGTCAATAGTGTCGAACGCAGCGCTAAGATCCAGTAGCACTAATAGAGAGATACAACCACGATCAGATGATAAGAAGAGGTCATTTGTAACTCTAATGAGAGCAGTCTCAGTACTATGATACGGTCTAAATCCTGACTGGAAATCCTCACAGACACCATTTCTCTCTAAGGAGGAACATAGCTGAGAGGATTCTGCCTTTTTTAGTATTTTTATCAGAAAAAGGAGATTTGAGATCGGTCTGTAATTAACATTCTCTAGGATCAAGTTGTGGTTTTTAATGAGAGGCTTATTAACAGTCAATTTGAAGGTTTTAGGGATGGATCCTAATGACAATGATGAATTAATAATATTCAGAAGAGGATCTATGACTTCTGGAAGCACCTCTTTTAGTAGATGATTTAAGAAGTTTATACAATTCTTCCTCTCCTACAGCAGAGCATGAGTGGAATTGTTCCTCAGGGGATCTATAGCGTTATTGTAGCTGACGGCTGCATGGATTTAATTTTATCTATATATATTTTTTTTAAACAATTTTTTCAAGTTTATAATGTCATTACTGCTGTGCCATTGGGGAATGTCTGCGGCTGTTGATGCTTCATTTTTGTTAATTTAGCCAAGGTACTGAATAAATAACTGGGGTTGTGTTAGTTTTTTTCTAAAAGAGACGAGCTAAGCAGATCTAGCAGTTTTTAAGGCTTTTCTATAGGGCAGGGTAAAAAAATATTGATTTCTCGATTTTAATCAATTCTCATTTTTACAAAACAATATTGATTCTTAAATCTGAAGAATCGATTAGACTAGCCTGTTTTCAGTTAATGAAGGGAACATTGTAGCATACCTCCCATCCAATAAATCACAATAAGCTTTGTGCTTTATTACTTTTGAGTAATAGTCCCAGATTTCAAATTATGTCCATTTTATTGCAGTATCCAAACAATAAATGCCAGTTTTTGCCATTCTTCAATGTTTAATGTTTGAATAAATCTGACAAAGTTTTAAATGACATGCACCAATTCTTTATATAAAAAAATAAAAAAATTAACGAATTGGAGTAGAAATATAATTATGTAGCTGTAACTTTATTATTATAAAACTTTATTGAGTGTAATTTAAGTGTTTGTATACAAACCACTTAATTTGAACCTTCAAAATTATAGTAATGTAGTACCAACTGACTCGCTTGTAAATCTTACAGCATTAGTTGAGAGTTTTTTTCCTTTGGCATAATTTGGCATATACTGTACCTGATATATCCAAAATAACTGATATTGAATCAAATCAAATTGGAAATCGAAAGCTTGTGAATCAGAATCGAATCAAACCTACTTTACTGTAGGAGGAAGTACTTTCCCTTCGTATCCATGCAATACGAAATACCTCTAGTTTTGTTTTCCTCCAGCTGCGCTCCATTCTCCGGGCTGCTCTCTTTAGGGTGCGAGTGTGCTCATTATACCACGGTGTCAGACTGTTTTCCTTAATCTTCTTTAAGCGTAAAGGAGCAACCGTATCTAAAGTGCTAGAAAAGAGAGATTTAATAGTTTCTGATACATCAAGTTGTTCTGAGGTATTGGATATACTGAGGAATAGAGATAAATCAGGAAGATTATTTACAAAGCAGGCTTTTGTGGTAGAAGTGACGGTTCTACCAAACTTGTAACAAGGAGTAGAATTTGCAGCTTCAGCTATATAAAGTTTGCACGAGACTAGATAATGATCGGAGATATCATAACTCTGCTGCAGAATTTCAACACCATTAACATCAGTTCCATGTGACAGTATTAAATCTAGAGTATTTCTACAGTCAGTAGGTCCTGACACGTGTCGTCTAACCCCAATAGAGTTCAGAATGTCTAGAAATGCTGATCCCAATGCCTCTTTTTCATTATCAACATGGATATTAAAATCACCAACAATTAAGACTTTATCTGCAGTAGCACTAACTCGAATTATACTTGAAGCCAGACTTCTGAGAATATTACTATAAATTGTAGCAACACCTAACCCTTTACCTTTTGGACGCGGCTCATGTTTATAACCGTAATCTTGGGGGGTAGACTCATTTAAAATAATGCAATCATCTGGTTTTAGCCAGGTTTCTGTCAAACAGAGCACATCTAGTTTACGATCTGTGATCAAATCATTTACAAAGTGCTTTCATCAAAACATCAGCTCTGGATTATTATACAAAATGATCGAGTTGTCATTGCTTTAAAATGCACATTCATTTTGTTTAAATGCATATGTGATATTTGTAAATTCTGTAACTTGTAGCATCTTCCAACTGTACTTTCTGATATCATCTCATAAAAGACTATTGTGGTGTTGTAACAGAAACATGCATTTTCTGAAAAGGTGCTTTGAAACATGTACTGTGAATTTTGAAGTAGATATATGGCGCCTCTAATTGGGCCGATATTACAATGTTCTCCTGTTACTGTATTGTCATAGCTACCAAACTTATGGATCCATATCTTCAAAACGAGAGAGAGAGAGAGAGAGAGAGAGAGAGAGAGAGAGAGAGAGAGAGAGAGAGAGAGAGAGAGAGAGAGAGAGAGAGAGAGAGAGAGAGAGAGAGAGAGAGAGAGAGAGAGAGAGAGAGAGAGAGAGAGAGAGAGAGAGAGAGAGAGAGAGAGAGAGAGAGAGAGAGAGAGAGAGAGAGAGAGAGAGAGAGAGAGAGAGAGAGAGAGAGAGAGAGAGAGAGAGAGAGAGAGAGAGAGAGAGAGAGAGAGAGAGAGAGAGAGAGAGAGAGAGAGAGAGAGAGAGAGAGAGAGAGAGAGAGAGAGAGAGAGAGAGAGAGAGAGAGAGAGAGAGAGAGAGAGAGAGAGAGAGAGAGAGAGAGAGAGAGAGAGAGAGAGAGAGAGAGAGAGAGAGAGAGAGAGAGAGAGAGAGAGAGAGAGAGAGAGAGAGAGAGAGAGAGAGAGAGAGAGAGAGAGAGAGAGAGAGAGAGAGAGAGAGAGAGAGAGAGAGAGAGAGAGAGAGAGAGAGAGAGAGAGAGAGAGAGAGAGAGAGAGAGAGAGAGAGAGAGAGAGAGAGAGAGAGAGAGAGAGAGAGAGAGAGAGAGAGAGAGAGAGAGAGAGAGAGAGAGAGAGAGAGAGAGAGAGAGAGAGAGAGAGAGAGAGAGAGAGAGAGAGAGAGAGAGAGAGAGAGAGAGAGAGAGAGAGAGAGAGAGAGAGAGAGAGAGAGAGAGAGAGAGAGAGAGAGAGAGAGAGAGAGAGAGAGAGAGAGAGAGAGAGAGAGAGAGAGAGAGAGAGAGAGAGAGAGAGAGAGAGAGAGAGAGAGAGAGAGAGAGAGAGAGAGAGAGAGAGAGAGAGAGAGAGAGAGAGAGAGAGAGAGAGAGAGAGAGAGAGAGAGAGAGAGAGAGAGAGAGAGAGAGAGAGAGAGAGAGAGAGAGAGAGAGAGAGAGAGAGAGAGAGAGAGAGAGAGAGAGAGAGAGAGAGAGAGAGAGAGAGAGAGAGAGAGAGAGAGAGAGAGAGAGAGAGAGAGAGAGAGAGAGAGAGAGAGAGAGAGAGAGAGAGAGAGAGAGAGAGAGAGAGAGAGAGTGTGAGTGAGTGAGAGAGAGAGAGAGAGAGAGAGAGTGAGTGAGTGTGAGTGAGAGAGAGAGAGTGTGTCTGTGAGTGTGGACCAGATGAAGGTGCGACACACAGATCCTGAGCATGACTGAGCAGTGTTTCTATGGAAACAGACTTTGTTACGGTGACATCACAGAAATCTACACACAACGATAAAACAACTATATGAACAAATGTATTCACATCTGGATCGCAGTATACTCACACAATCAATAGCAGCCGTGTGTGGGATGCAGGTTGCCAAGGCAACACATCCTCTCACCAGTCAGAGGGCGAGAGAGAGACGCCCACCGCCTGTAAGAGCCTCAAACATCGCTAATAACTACAGAAACACAGAGATCTCCTTCAGAAACTAGATTTCCACAAGTATTTATTTTACAATTTTGATCAACAAAAATGTTTTTTTTTTTCCAGAAAGAAGGAAAAAGGCTCAAGTTTCCAGTAAGGTGTTTGAGTGTTTTAGAGGGTGTTAAAGACACTCGCCCACATTAAACACTCAATAATACACCAGCCACGACATTCAAACAGCATCAAGAGAAAACAACAACAACTGAAAGGAACTGAGGAGAGAGTTTGGAAGCTCAAGCGCTCCGATCACAGACTCAGGAAAGGCAGAGATTATTCTAAAAAAAGCATGTGTAAATTATCCCATCACCCGAGTGTCACACACACACACACACACACACACACACACACACACACACACACACACACACAGAGGGCCGAG